TCCTTGCAGATGCGCTTCATGCTTCTGTTCAGCCGGCAAGGCAAGCTGCGTCTGCAGAAGTGGTACACGGCCGCCGCCGAGCGTGACAGGAAGAAGATGGTGCGCGAGCTCATGCAGGTGGTGCTGGCGCGAAAGCCGAAGATGTGCAGTTTCCTGGAGTGGAGGGACCTCAAGATTGTCTATAAGAGGTAGGAGCATTTATGCAGTGGAGTGTAAATTTCAGTGCACATTTACAACATGGAATACCGCGCACGTTAAGCTTTGGTATGTTTTGCGTTGTGTTTGCCTCGTTCATTTGTTGCTTTGGACAAAAGTGTCTGCTAAATGGAAGTAAATGTAATGTCAGTGTAATATATTTGTACAGATCATAATGAGAATAATGTCCATGACTGTGTGGGTGAGGTTACAGAACATAGCTGAGGGGAATATCTAACTGCAGTGACACAGCTGAAAATTATGCGGGTACAAATTATCTGCCGATTACTATCTGTAAGGCAGTTCTTTGGTTGTGTGTGTGTGGGCACACATGAATTGCGCATTTCTTTGTCTGTGGGTGTTTATGTGTGTATGCGTGTGTTTCAGATTGTGTCGGCCGAGGACTTTGGAATTATTAGCCACATTAAACAATCCATGGAAATGGAACATTATTGCGAGATTGGAAACGGAGTCATGCATGCGTGGGTCCTGTATGTGTGTTAACTCCCCCTCCCCCCCCCCTTAGGTATGCCAGCCTATATTTCTGCTGTGCTGTGGAGGAGCAGGACAATGAGCTGGTTACCCTGGAAGTCATCCACCGCTTTGTGGAGCTGCTGGATAAGTACTTTGGCAGCGTGAGTCACCCTCTGCCTTCCCATCCTCCTCCTCACGCTCTCTCTGCTCTCTCGTCCTCTCGTCCTTTCTTTCAGAACCAGGAGTCAGCCCGTGTCATGCCCCCTCTCCTCTACCTTTAACCCCAACAAAATTAGTTTCACGTCCTTCTCTCCAAGCTAATTTAACTGTGACCTGTAATGTTCTCTTATGCAAATTTGACTGGGAAATTGAGCCAATTGGGCAGAAACATAACCGTTGATTGTTTAAATTCTGGATTCAAGCACAAGAGTCCTAAAGAAAGCAGACTGCTCAGTCGTCCAGTTGGTGCAGACTGATTTCTTTTGGGCTTACTTAAGTCTGACCTGAAGTTTTCTATAATGAGCGCATGTCTTACTTTGTATGAGCATAAACAAGGCAGTGAAACACAGCATGACAGATGGCTGCACTTCAGTTTTACAGCTGAGTAAAATAAAAATAAAAACACGTTTGAATTTGAGGGGCGGCCTGGTGTTGCAGTGGTTAGCACTGTTGCCTGGGGCGGCCTGGTGCTGCAGTGGTTAGCACTGTTGCCTGGGGCGGCCTGGTGTTGCAGTGGTTAGCACTGTTGCCTGGGGCGGCCTGGTGTTGCAGTGGTTAGCACTGTTGCCTGGGGCGGCCTGGTGTTGCAGTGGTTAGCACTGTTGCCTGGCATTGTTATCTTTGCCAGAGTTCCATGTGTGTGGAGTTTTGCATGTTCTCCCCGTGTCACTGTGGGGTTTCCTCTGGGTACTCTGATTTCTCCCCACAGTCCAAAAACGGGCTGAGGTTAATTGGAGTTGCCAAATTGCCCGACAGTGTGTGAGTGTGCCCTGCGATGGGTTGATGCCCCATCCTAGGTTGTTCCCTGCTTTCCATCCGTAGCTTCTGGGAAGGGCTCCAGACCCCCCGTGACCCTCAATAGGACAAGCAGTTACAGAAGATAGATTCTTTCCTTCTCGCCTCCACTAATCATTTTGGGGCTGCTCCTCCTACAGGTGTGCGAGTTGGATATCATCTTCAACTTTGAGAAGGCGTACTTCATTTTGGATGAGTTTCTCATGGGGGGTGAGATTCAAGACACCTCCAAGAAGAGCGTGTTGAAGGCCATTGAGCAGGCCGACCTGCTACAGGAGGTAGCCAGCCTTGGATGTTTGATTAGTTTGTTGTTTGATTGTATACTTATCCAATGGTGTGATTGTGGCTGTGGCATCATTCTGGTAACGATGCTGGAGATATAATGTTTTTCTTTTTTTTTTTTTTTTGTTTTGATATCCTCCACGCTGCTGTCAATCACAGGAGGATGAGTCTCCAAGGAGTGTGCTGGAGGAGATGGGTCTGGCCTAACCTTCGTCTTGGGATGGGGGAGGGGGGGCTGAGGGGCTTGGATCAGAGGAAGTGGGTGTCCTGGCATTGTGGGGTGAGCCGATCGAAAACACAGAGGGTGGTGTGACTTACGGCCTGCAACAGAGAAGCTGCCATTGAACTTTGCAAAAAAAAAAAAGGGGGGGGGGGGGGGTAAATTTTCACAATTATGGCTTTGTTTTATTTTTGTGGAAATAATGTGAAATTGTTTCTGTTGTTTTGTTTTTTGTGGAATTGATTTGTGGGTTGGGCTGCTGTGTTGTGTGTAAAAAAAAAATAATAATAATTACAGAGGGAACGCATTTAGAATAAGATCTTGCTCTCGGGTCCTCCTGCCTTTTCTTTGCATGTCCGAATCAAGACACATTTGTGACCCTGTGAAAAACCCTGAAATGAAATCCCTCGGAAGCGTTTGGTGGTGTTACCCCATATGGGGCCGCTTCAGACATTTCTGTGGACTTCTTCCAAAACAAAACAATTTGACAGTGGTTTTGAACATTTATTCAAAGTCGGAAGTCGGTTCCCTTTGGGGTGACAGTGGTTGTTGGGGGAGAGGGGGCAGTCGGAAGAGACATACAGGAGTGATCTATTACCTTTAGAAGATTGGGGGGAGCTCATTAAAATCCCCTTCCCAGATGTTTTCTAATCCTGCATTATCCAAAGAGCTTTCGGTCTTTTTGCTTGTAATCTAATACTGCGGTGTTAGGGATGCAAAAGACCGAATACTTTAAACCCACTGCACCGTTTTTAAATGCCTTGGTGTGGTAATGTGTCGAAAGGCTGAAACGGGCTGGCAGATGCAGCCAATCAGATACAGCGTCTCACAGCCAGTTTTCTTTTTATCTTTTGTGAACCTAACATGAGAGATTTCCTGGGAAAGGGACAGGTTGGGAACGCATTTCGATTTACTGTGTGACAACGCACAAAAGCAAAGGAGCCATGTGCAAATAAAGTTTTTTTTTTTTTTTTTAAATAAATGGTCGAAAAAAATTAACACATACTATGTATTAGCATTTGTGGTGCTTTGAAGAGATGGACTTTGTTGTGCTGGTGAGGTGTGGTAAGCCACTGCTCGTGTGTGTGGGTGGAAACAGCCCATTTTGTCACTCCACTCTGAGTCAGTATCATTATCTGCCTGTTTCTTCAGTTGGGGGGGAGGGGGGGTGAGTTTATCTCTGTTTGTGTGTCAGTGTTTCGGCCTGGGTAATGGAAAGTGTGTGTATAATCTTATGTTTGTGCGTAAACCAATCATTTAATGCTCGTTCCTCTGGGGAAATGTATGTCTATAATCCAGTATTTTGTTATTTTGTTTACAGAGTCAAATAATGCAAATTTGTGTGTGTGTGTGTGTGTGTGTGTGTTTTGCCATGCTTAATCCCCTGTGTTTGGGTCTGTTATTGTGAACAGTGTGTGTGTGTGTTGCAGTAGTTAGATAGGGACTGCTGTGTGTAAATAAAATAGAAAAAAAGAATAAATCAGAAAGGAACTGCAGTGACATGGATGGGAAAATGCGGGAACCCGCACAACACCGGCAGGTAGACGACTGGAGGCAGTGTGAGGAGCAAATCCACGCGGCGTTCTGATCCGGCATCCACGCGCCGTTCTGATCCGGCATCCACGCGCCGTTCTGATCCGGCATCCACGCGGCGTTCTGATCCGGCATCCACGCGGCGTTCTGATCCAGCATCCACGCGGCATTCTGATCCGGCATCCACGCGGCGTTCTGATCCAGCATCCACGTGGTCCTCCTGCATGTCTGCGTGTGTCTCGCATTGGCAGGAGTGGCTCTCTGCGGGTTATGTGATCACTTTTTTTTTTCCCCTCCACAAAATCCTCCCTTTTAGCTGTTCCAGGTTATTTCAGTAAAGGGTGACACACATAAATGTATCTAAGGTCCGTCGTCCCGGATTTCACTCGGGCCGTGATCCACAGGCGATCAAGCGGCGCACGCCTCGCCAAGGCCGGCATTAGATCTCGATAATGAAGCTGATGATTAGCCGATCCGCCAGCTTGCGTTGCAGATGGGTTGCTGAAAATTGCCCCCACCCCCACCGCTCATCAGCTGTAGTAATGGAGCATAGGGTGTGGTCTGCATTCAGGCCCCTTCTGAGCACATGGTGTCTCTCCCACCTTGCGCGTCTTGCCGCTTGGCTGTAGCACACGGGGTCCGCCGTGATGCTTGGAGGTGGATGACTCACCTCTCCACCATGTGACCTATCAATCATTCCTGTTATCATCGCCTTCCTCGCCCCCTCTCTGTTGTTCCCTGGCTTGTGGACGTGGGGCGCTGGTCAAATCTCCTTTTGTTTCCCTCTATCTTCTTTCCACACGTTATGACGAGGCTGTTTTTTTTTTTGCGCTCCTGTCCCTCTTTTATTCACTGTGCCTTCTGTTGGCTTTCTATATGCCAGTCACGTGGGAAACTGTCTGTGTGTATGCATGCGTGCGTGCCTGTGTGTTTGAGAGCCTTCCAGCTGATGTATGCGTGCATTCTGGTCTATCCCTTAATGTTTTTGGAAACATCTGCACAGATATCGCTGTGCCTTTGTGCACTTCTGCGTTCCATTTCAAGCAGTCTCTTTATGGTAAACCCCTGCTATAAATGAAAAGCTGTTCTCATGTGATGAAAAATAAGCACAGAGACAGACCTACTGGGGGACACGCAACAGCACACAGGCCGTTCATTGTCCCGCATGCTGATTTCTTCAGGGCGTTTGTTAAATGATTTGATTCTAACTGCTCTGTTTTGCCGGTCAGATTCCAGTGCTTTAAAGCTGGGACTTAGGATGGAACAATGTCAAGAAAAAGTACAATGACAGGATAATGTGCGTAATATGGCCTCCACTTTGACTATTAGGTCTAAGTGTGTCTGGTCCAGCGCACAAGCCGTACGGAGCACCCCTACGGATTATGGGCATGGGTCATTTTCTCTTTCTGGATTTAGATTACCAGGTTTCTTCTGTCACCAAATAAACTTAACGTGTATCTTTCCAAAAAGGCATTAAAAAGCTGATTTTTAATAAAATAGTTGCTTTTATTTTTCTCTTTTAGCAAAACTAGTAATCGACATGCTTTTATTTACACACTGCAGACGCATGTTTATTAAATACTGTACAATTCACAATTTGGAAGAGACATCAAGGACAGTTTCCTTTTACAAGACTCAACATTTTTACTTGTGTATGCTAGTCATCGTCACAAGTTTTTTTTTTAACGTTTTTTAATGAGCAAATTTATTCAAAGAAACAACGTTTTCCCACAGTTTTTTTTAGTTTTTAAGAGATGCAAGTACACACAGACGTGCAATCTATTTTGCCCTTCCTTTCCTCTCTCTTGCACGATCCCTCTCTTTTCCCTTTCCCCTACTTTCTCCACTCTTCCACTTTCCTTTCTCCAAGTTCTTTAAAAAAAAATAATAAAACAGACATCCCGGTGACTTCCCTTTTTTTTATACGTTTTGCATTCATGACTTCCTGTAAAAATGGCTTAACCTGTTGTGGTCACTTTGAGAGCACGAGACAGAGAAAGCAGTAATCACACCCCTTGCATCTGTCACTCCAGGATGCTATAGATGCCATAATTATGAATGAAACGAACAAGCATGTGAGGAAAGTGCCTCGGTTTGGCCACGAAACTGCCAAAGAGCTTCAGAGAGTGAAGTCTCAGTGGGCCTCCGCTGTGTGGTCGTCATGCTGGGGTCTTTAGCTGGGGATTGTCATTGCGGCGTCGCATGAGTGTTACTCTCATATAAGTTTCGGTTGGGCTTGTGTGAGGATGCTATAAAGAATGAAAATGGTGGTTCGCCAAGCTGATGAATGATCTGAGCCTGGAGGGAAGACAATGGGGTGACATAGGAGAAAGCAGGGGCACTAGGGCAGACAGAGGCAGACAGAGAGAGGGCCAGCTCAATAAATACCCTATGTAAAAGACCCCCCCCCACCCCCTCCACGGCCCCGTCTACCTTATAAATCAAAACAGGTCCAGCTAGGCCAATCCACTCCCTCCAGTGAAAGAAGCAGAGCAGCCCTATGAAGAAGCAATACTCAGCAGAGCTCCAAGAGCAAGGCCAAAGGAAGCTGCTTCTCCCTAAATGTTAAAAAGTGCACCTCCTGAAGCTTTGGTGTGATGTTTTCACGGTGCAGCCTCGTCATAAAGGAGAGTAAGGCAGTAGAACTCTGGTCTGGTCACAGCTTGCATTAATAATGTTTTGTTTCTCATTAACTGCTGGAATGTATGAATTCATTTCACACCGCCGTATGAAAAGAAGATACACAAGTGTTTGGTTTACAAAAAGACCAACAGATCATTTAAAAAAAAAAAAAACCCTGTACACAGATGACACTGATCAAAGTGTAACAAACTGAAACAGACACTTAGGTCACAGAGCAATATGTTAGTTCCAGGCACACAGAAAGGTCTGAAATTGTATGAAACTGTTTGATCCCCCTTTATTTTATACCTGTATATTTTATGCTCAAAGTACAAACTATTATATTAATTTAACAGGTTTACCTGCCTAGGGACTGTCTAGGTGTGTGTGTGCCCTTCTGAGGGAGAGAGAAGCATTTGATTTTCTGGGTGTATTTGGCACTCAACAAAAAGAAAACGTGTAAACGTTTTTTTTCTCTTGCATTTCATTGGTTTAAAGAAAAGTCAATGCATGCAAGATGGATCCCAGGTCGGATATACCTGAACACCAGGTCAAGATGGAGATTACCTAAACAAAACAAAAAGGTCATATAATCAAGTAATCAAATCATCATCAAGTAATGTCTCCCATTTGCAATACAATACAAGAAAGTGGAAAAAATCAGAGCAATCTCTCCAGTTGTCTCACTTTCTCTCAGTCCTTTATAGCTTGTTACCTCTCAGTTTTCTTCATTATCGGTTATTACTGAAACAGTCTACGTTTCAAGTAGACCTTCTCAATGAAGTTTTCTAGCTCCTCGTCACTATCCTGCTGTTGTCCTCTCAGGTCGTAGTAGCTGTCATCCTGGGAAGCCACAGGAGCTGGGGGGGGATAGTAGAGGGAGGGGCGAAGGTGGGGTGTTTGCCGAGGTTTGGGAACCACGTAAGTTCGGGGATGGGGCAGGATGTAGTTGGGGATGTAGGGACCCGGCAAACGTGCAGGACGCTTTCTGGGGCGGCTCTGACCCCAGGGCCGGTACCTGTGCTTCGGAACGTCAAACTCGTGGTCCATGGAGCTCCCCAGCAGCTCATCAAAGGACAGTGCTGGCTTGGTGAAGTAGCGTGATTTGGGATTTGGGAGTGGGAAGTACACGGGATAGTAAGCACGGTACGGTTTCTGGTAGAATGGATATGAAGGGTAGGCAAGGAACTGCTTCTGAGATTTGGACCAGAAGTCCTGCTTCCATGGCTTAGCTTTGCCCTTGAACCATTTGCCATAAGGGCTAAACGGCGGTGATTTCACAGTGGAAGAGTACCGGGAGGCTGGGATTGGGGGGGGCACCAGGGGGCGATAGCGAGGCAAATTTTGCGGCATGTCCTTCCTCTTTTTCTTCTTCTCCTCCACATCACTGATGATGTCAACAACGTCATCAGCGGGCAGGTGCAATTTGCTGGAGATTTCAATCAGCTTGTCGATAGTCTGAGGGTCGATGTCGTCCTCGTCGTCCTCCTCCTCCTCCGATCGCTTGTCCTCCACGGCGTTGGTGGCCAGGGCAGCCTTCCTTCGCTGATTTGCGTAACTGGCCGCCTGCTTCTTCACCATGTACTGCAGGACGCGATCGGACGCGATGTCGGCCAGCCTCTCCTCCTCAGCCCGCGCTCTCTGGGCCTCGGCCTCTTGTCTCCTCACCTCCTCCTGCTCAGCCCGGGCTTGCGCCTCCTCCTCCTCACGTGTCAGGAACTCCTCCTCACCATCACCTTCATTCTCTTCTTCAAAGTCCCTCATGAAGTTCATCTGATTGAATTTCGGCTGTGTCTTCCTACTCTTCTCCTCTTGCCATTTCAGTTTCTTCCCCGCCCTGGCAAGTTGCTGGTTGTACAGCTTATAACCCTTCAGTGGGGGCAGTATCTCATTATTCTGGAGGCCCAAGTCTATGTTTGGGAAATATCCCCGGGCCTCTCTGTAAAGCACTGACTTCTCTAACTCCTTCGTCCCCAGGCCTTGTCTCTGTAACTTTCCTAGCAGGTTCTGTAGATTCCTCATGACCTCATCTTGCTGCCCGTCATCCTCTTCCTCCTCCTTCCCCTGCCTCTCCTCACCTGCTAGCTCTGTCTTTGAGGTCTCAGCTTGGTTATCATTTGCTCCCTCCTTTGTCAGCCTTTCCAACCCCTGCTGCCCCATCCCTGGCCTGCTTTTCTCATCCTCTTCCTCTCCTTCAGGTTCCTTGTACACATTTTCAGTAATGGTAGGTGGGCTGGGCATAATGTAATCACCCAGACCTCGAAGAACCCTTTGCATGCCCCCTACTGCTTCGACCTTCTCGTCCCCCACCTTCTCCACCGGCTGGGAAATGGTGTCCAGCAAAGCAACCGCCAAAGTCCTGGGATCCATATCCTTCAGGAGCTCCTCCTCCGGAATCTTCTGGATCAGGCTCACCTCCTTCTCCCACTGCTCCCTGGCCTCAGCCTGCATTGTTTGCTCCGGGGCAGCTGTTGCATCACTGTCCCGGTCGCCGACCACAGGGACGGCGATGCTGAGGCGCTGAGCAACACCATACAAGAGGAGCAGCAGGATCGGAGCTCTGGAGGCGTGCTGGCACAGGGTCATGACCAATCAGAGTGAAGAATGGGGGCAAGGGGCGGGACTGAAGCACCTGACAGAGACACATACACATACAGAGTCATATGGCAGCTACCTTTTTTCAGAGTAAGGCTACAGACCCAGTGTATGACTGGTTATAGTTTGCCAGTTTGAACTCTGAAGCTCTTTTATCTTTTTAAGTACCTGATTTATTATCTTCAAATTCACTATGGTAGCATTTGCAAAATCCCTATTATTAACACAGTGCATGTGCGCATATAAAACACATCTTGCGAAACACATTTTCTTTGAAAACAACTGTTTACATTACTTTTTGGTAACAGTAGCAATATGGTATTCGCTTTATTTACATATCGAGTTCATCTGGTGGTTTAAATTATTTTGTGATAAAGGAAATCACGTTAATAACGGAAAAATGTGGCGTTTCCCGGTCTAAGCTATTCTGCGTCTACTCATCAGCCTAAAAGGCGTAGAGCGCCTTTCCGCGCGACTGCCTGCAGAAAAACCCAATCAATTAGTCGGTCTAATATTGAATCGTGCTTATTATATTTGAGGCACTAATTCGTGCTGATGATGTCGTATAGGGTATTTTCACCAACGAACATATTTTTCTCCTGAGTATAAGAATCTACTTCTACGCGTAAGTTCAGCACAGTTACTTGTTGAGTGCTACAGCAAACAAAACGACAATAAAACTGATACAATTTCACCTAGAGCCCCCAAAAGAAAACAGCATTAAGGACATCAATATCCTGACGAGCTGAAAAAGCTCGATAAGAAAATGTATTATCTGTTTCTAATAGCGACGTACCAAACTGAAAATACACTCGTTAAGCACATACAATACACGAGCTACAAATAAGCGCCTTGCAAACCAATGCATTCTATTTAAAACATGTTTCGTATCAGCACGAGTGTCTTTTCAAGTGATCAGACGATATGGTGAAAAAATACTTCACGCAATCATTTGACGCCAGGATTAGTCCATAAACATCATTTAGGTAACTTTAAATGACAAGACAATCACGTCTTACCCTCGGCCTCACGTTCACTCATCCGTTTTAGTTATTACAAATGTTACGTCCATCTATGGTCAATGCTTGGACGTCTCTAAGAACGTCCCTCAGTCTCCTTTATTTGGCTCCATGCCTCGCGATGCCCTTCAACTTCTTAAGACCACGCTCAGGTTGAGCATTTGGCGCTTCTTTTCATATAATATTAATAATGCATATCTCCCTGTTAACTGTGCCACTTTCGGCGTTGGATGCAACTGAAAACCCTCATGAACGCGCTGCGTCATCTTACTGATTAACGCGCAGAAATCTCTATGTCACTTTTAAATAGTGCATCTCCTTTCCCGATATGTTTATCAGCCGCAGTGTGAATCCCTTCATGAAAATCCGCGAGTAGGTTCGCATCATCAGTTACAGAGTCACACCTTGTAAATACTGCCAGCGCCCGACCCACCCCGTTGTATCTGTTGCTTACTGTGCTTTCCATCTATTCGCCTTTCTCCTTTCCCCATTTCAGTTTGAATTCATTTATCATTATGTTTATCTTTCTAACCTAATCAGATTAATCAACAATGCTTTTCGAGGAAAGTAAACAGGCACGTGTCATTTACTAGAATATTAATAACTTCACACGTCTTACTCCTACTGGTAAGCTACAATTTTTACTTCAACAATAAAAAATTCTGCCGCTAAAAGATAACTATTGTAGTGCGTATAAAAGTGATTTCTTACCTGAAATCCTATGGTGGTAAGTGCAAATTGTTTTTAAAGTTTCGGTTTTTCTCTGTCGATTCTTCTTAAATGGTTGAGCAGATGTTTTATTTACTTTCCTTTGAAACGCTAGTGTTTATTAACAATAGGATGTATTTTATTCATTAAAAACTACTTCATGTGTTCGCATCTTTGCGTGTCATTCACAACGTCAAAAGAGTAACTTCGCCAGTGCAGCGCTGGAGAGTATTTTTCAGAACCACGGCCAGCTTCACTTCGATGTATTTATACCCGTATGCCCACGTGACCAGACATTAGCGTCCCTCATTGACGTCAGCCTTTCCATTGATAAGAATTTTCGTGTCAGAAACGAACTCCTAGTCTTCGCTACGCTGCAGTGCCCTGATGAATGAACGGAAACAGGATGAATGAAATACTATTTTTTTCATTGAAGGAAGAAAAGGGAGGGGAAATATACCGAGATGGAAGATGTTTTAAGCATGTTTAAAGTAGCCGTTTAATCCTTCTGGCACCCTCCGCTTCTGTCTTGGATCTATTGCCGAATTATAATTAAACTGTGACATTAATTATCAAAAATGTGAGTACGTGACAAGGATAACTGGGAGAACTACAAGTGCTTCTCTCCCCACGCCCAAAATACCCATACACGAGCATCCTCCACTCTACTCTTCGACCTATCGATCAGTTGGCTACTGGGGTGCCTCTAATCGGCACTCCGAGGGGCGTCAGTCCAGTGGAACGGTCATGACGCATACAGTTCAGCCTAGCTGCTCAATTTCCGCTCAATTTCCTGGGCTCCTTCAATTTTCTGCTCTTTGTCTCGCGGTGTCTCTGACTCTCAACACACACACACACCGCCATCAGTCTCTCACTTGTCAAGCTTCGTTTTCTGACATTCTGTATAATTCCCATTTCTGCTTGATTTCGCCTGGAGGTATTTCATTGATCAGACACACGCCCACAGGTGGACAGCTACAAAGGATACAGATTATACTAAAAGAAATGGCGCGCACGTGCAGTCACTCTTACCTGTGCTAAACCAGAGTAAGCTGTTTTGTAATGAAATATTCCTTCCTCAAGAATGCCTACTATTTAAACATTTAATGTACCCTCAATTGTCAAATTTCAAACGAATTGATTAATCTGATTGTATTTTACAGAGCACAGCACCAGTCAAAAAGCACATTAAGAGTTTAGCAAGAAGCCTTGGCAATTCAATAAATTCATGCATGATTTTAACCAGTTGTTCAGAGACAGTATTTTAATTATGGTTGACTAGTTATATGGTTCTTTACCTACATATACAGTATAGAGTAGATCTCTATGTATACAATGGAGTCTGTACACAATTGTCCGTATGACAGAGGCACTACAAAAATCAGTATATCACCTGAATTAATTGCTTAACACAATATAACAGAGTAGACAATGAACTGGCTGACGTGTCATGTTTTTCATGTCGACGCTTTTGTAATAACTGCAGATACTTTGCCGACTCTCATGTATAGACCCAATAAAATGGTGAGTGAAATCTGGTCGCAGTAAAATATACAAATCTAACAGGTTTTGGAATCACAACAAAACTCACCCGGGGTGCTCTTCACGTGGTATTTTGCTATGAATCCCCTTTGAGTAGGACTCAGAATCCATAAATAGTTTTGTCATTAACAGAAAGACTATTGCATGAAACAATTCTAGATAACAATCTATAATGCGTTTCCCCAAAAAAGCCATGCATTAAACGAGATGTTTCACTGATAATTTCACACTTCATTCTGACATTCACTAATAGCTTAGACTTGCATTTTAATTATAAGGACACTTCATGGGGATGCATTGGATATGCTGAAGATTTGAATGAGAAAAAACTTGTTTCCTGATTCAGATTTGCTAAAACCCTATCGACGTTGTCAAGTTGTTTGAGCTAAGACCTCGTTTCTTGCAAAACTCGCGGGTTATATTCGAAACAGAAAATAGCATCAATCTCAAAGAAATTAATTTAAGATCTCTTTTGGTGCAATTTTGCATACTGTGATTGATTCGATTCAGAGTGCATGCTGAGTGCAGCGTTTGTGTGTATGTATGTATGTGTGTGAGCGCTCGTGTGTGTGTGTGTGAATGGGAATTTAAGTGTGGCTGCATTGTTGCATGAGTAGCCATGGTTAATGGGGTGTTATTGAAGCCAGATTCTGATATAACGGCTTAGCATTCCGGTCTGCCACTCAGAATTCCAACTGATCAGACCCTTTCTCCTTTCCATTCCTAGTGTGACTCACCTCCTCCGTTCCCGCCCGAACACTTTTAACGGATAATGCTTGAAAATGCATTGCACTGAGAAAATAAGCGAAAGTAGCAACGAACATAGTACTGCGAGATTAATGTTACACAGCAATAAAAATTTTGGAAACAACGCTCAATGGCATTAAGAATGTACGACTCATTGTCACTACCAGAATTGTTTCAGCTAATTATAGTAATAAATTTGGCAGTATCAATAATGACCAGGAAGTTAAGGGAAGAAAAAAAATACGTTTGTTTCTCCATCGAACTCTTATCCAGAAACACCAATGGTTTATTTGAACAAATATAGATCTAACGAATTTAGATAACCTTGTTACAGATATGCGGGTTAATGGTAATGACATACGTTATGAATCACACAATATGGACATATGGAGAAAATGTTTGGCGCGATTAATTCTACCTCGCAATATATTTTTCCGCCTCGGCTAGCGCCTAATGGTGTGTACGAGCCTCGCGCCTACACCACGAGGCACAGGCTCGGGGTCTCCACCGCCGCTTAGGGGCAGCTTTCACCCCGATAATCCCAGGATACGCATTTGAGACTTGCAGCCGCTGGCAGGAGGCTTTGCAATTGCGACAGCTTGCTAAATTGCAATTATTAAGATTTTCTAAAATTTCTTTCGTGTACGACTCGCAGATCACAGGCTTCAGAAAATTACTTTCGTCGCTTGTACTGAAAAATGCAAATTGCAAGAGTCACGTTGCTCACCTTCTAAAAGAAAGCACAGCTACCTTTTTGAGGGCTGGAGAAAAAAAATCTCAAGCCAAACGCGAGGAAATACATTAATTAATTGCGAAAACCGCATTTCAGTCCTGCATGAAATACTGTATGGCGGACTGCAGAAGTCACGTTAACCCACCGTTCATTCACAACACAACCTCCGTTATCTCTCACGTGTGTATTTGTGTATTTGCATGCTGTTGTTTTAATAACGGATACTGACATTTTGAAAACAAAACGGTAACCTTTCAGCGCGCTCTGTTTAATATTCGAAATGTGGGAAATGCCCACAGCACCCTCCCAGGTCCTGCATTCATTCATAAAACGACCGGGACCTGGGTGGTTGGCTGCACTCCGCTACGTCACAATTTACGGCTTAAATTCCAGTTAAGAATTTGTCTCGTTCTTCCTACAGCTGTCTTTTTTTTTTTTTACTTTGAGCATTTCTCGTATTTTCTTGTTTTGCTGTGCAAGGAAGCGCTCGTGTTTCACACATTTTCCCCACGCTTATATAGAATGGTACGCCAAAGCCACATTAAAAAAGCAAAACAGATGTTGACCCAGCTGGCGAAGTTAAAAGAGATGCTGGTACTTCAGTGTCTACCCCCTGCCTACACAGATCTAATGAACCCACTATAACGAGACAGACTCTAATGAAGCACTGTATATATGCTTCCGCTTTGCTTCAGACTTTATTATACAGGGGATGGTTCATATCCAGCCCATTGTAAGGTTCGTCATGAAGCCAGTCTCTCTTGTTTATCCTTCTGGCTCAGAATAACGCGCCGGAACCCTACGGGAACCAGCGACACCGTTGATGGATAACCTCGGAGTTCGGTTTCGAAGTGGAGATAATGAAGCGATGTAGATCAGTGGGCGATAGCAGCGCGGCGGTGGTGTTCCCCGCTATTAATCTCTCCCTCTCCCCTTATTTCTTTCTCGTCTCTGTTTCCCACACACTCTTTCAAAATTCACATCACCGAAACATAAAACACCCCTTTCAATGCAGGTAGACTTCTGTAGACGAAGTAATGCAAACCGTAAAAAAGTAACAGACAGTATAACCTCTGTACAATGAAATAACGGAAGGAATATTTCATTAAATTCACCAGGCGTTTTGCAGTTACAGCTGGTGGCAAATAACCCACTATGATCTCCTCCTAATAGTAAAAGTAATTTATTTATTCGAGTCCTTAGGGGCAAAAAAGCACACATATACGTGCCAGTCGAAGCCCATATGGCGCCCTAGGCAAAGTTCACAGTTGGCGCCCTTCCCCCCGGGCAAACTTCACCGCTCAATTTCACCAAAAATTGTCTCGGACGGTGCGCCCCGAGTGTGTGTGTGACAGAGATTTGGGGGTGGGGGTTAAAGTCGACTCCCCCTCAGAAGACATGGCGCCCTAGGCAACCGGCCCTGCCTCTGGGATGTACGTGTCTCAAGTAACGTTTAACTAAGCGAGGTTCTCTGCAGCAGGTGCAGATTGTACCTTTTATCATTATTTGAATTTATTTCACAGCTTATCATAGCTCACCATGAAACGAAAATACGAGCACGGGGAAGTGACCATTTATATTACCGGGCAGCATAGACTTTTTCCTTTTGCGTGTGACTGGTATTTCGGTTTTGGTACGCGATCACCTGAATCACGTCGTCTGCCGTTTTATTTCTGTCCTGAGGGATAGAGATAAATGCAGCAATTGCAGTCATTCTGAGGCCACGTTACTCACAGTGCTATTAAACTTTGCCGGATATGCCTCTCGACAAATCTTTTAATTCCCTGTCCGTTCCATTGCGCGGTTTGATTTTAATATTTTTTTAAATTATGTGTATAAGGTTTTGTCCTTTTTCAAAATATTTTAGCAGTCACGTCTTTAGAGTCCAAAACATTTTCAGAAAATTCTCTACATTCCA